GATTAAGGGAGCTAGTGTATATAAAATGTTTAGCGTAATGCTTATGACATAGCGAGTGATAAGCTAAGATAATTATATTTTAAGAGACTTCAAAAAGGAAGCCTTTGGCCCCAAGGGTAGCACTTCATCAAATCCAATTCAGTTCTCCAACCATCTAGAAAGCCAGATTTATTATGACTTTGCAGCTATGATGTGGGGAAAAGAAAATATCAGAAAATATTTTTCAGTCTCCTTGCCTTTTGCTCTGCGGGTGAGGATTATTTCATACTAAAATACCAGGCATGCCTTTTTAAAATGGTGGCATTTTGAGGTCAAGGTCAATTCTTTGCCTTGGTATTACCGGTCTGGACTAAAGAGTGAGACTTCAAAGATCTGGCTCGTTTCCAAAGACATTTTTATTTTATATACTTAAGTGGCAGAATTCCACTAACAAGCTTTCCTCTCTGATTCTACTTAAAGGAACCTGAAGAGCTAATAGAAGTGGATGCATCAGTACTAGTCATAAAAATAAGGCACTTTCTATGCATGAAATGCACTTTTATATGCTTTCTTTTCTCCATCAGTGCTAATAAAGTATTGTAGTTATGTGTAAACAGCCACATTTTCACCACTACTTCAGCCTCATTCATTTAGTGATACTGGAAAGTTTCATTTTTTCTTGCATGTATGTTCTTGTTTAAAAGTCCCTAAAGGCCCATAAAGGCTTTATTTTCTCAATATAATATTTCATGGGCATACAAAATTTTAAAATTCAATCCTTGGAAGTGTTCACTGTACCATTATTATTGATGCCTTTAGCAAAAACCTATTCTAAGCAACTGATTTGACTCATAATAAAATCCACCTTAGATTGTTCCACAAGAAATTAGCCTGAGTTTCTCAGTCAGTGGACTCTAATCCCCGCCTAGTTTTCTGCTACCTTGTAATCACCACAGGCAACACCAGCCTAGATGGAAAGCAGAGCAACCGGTCTGTGCTCCAAACAATTGTCCAGGGTAAATATCAGCTCTGCGTGGGCTGGTTGTGTTTGAGTGTACATATGGGTATATGTAAGTGTCTTAGCAAGTGTCTTAGCAAGAAAGTAGAGTAATCAATGTTGACGTTGTGTCCTCTGACATTTTTTTCCATTGTTTCATTATTCCATTATTTTAGTCTTTGGGGGTGCTGTGGGTGACTTTTGATACAGTGAATTTTTTGTTCCCTCTGAGGGCCTTTAGATGCTTACAACATACTGTGAGGTGCAACAAACATCAGTAGGAGGTAGGTCACCTGTTGGCAATTTCTTTGTCTGCCTTTCTTTCAGGAGTGTCATTGTCACCTTTCACACCTCAAAAACCTCTTTCCATCTGGGTTCTGGTAAGCTGGGCCCTAATGTCATCCTCACCCCCAAACACAGGTGGAAACACCACAACCTTGCTTGTGTGTTAGTGTTTAGGAGGAATCTGTCTTCAGTGCTCAGCCCTCACTCAGTCCTTATCCCCAGTGTCTGGCTAATTGTGGGCCTGCTGCTGTGGTCCTCAACCCTGCAGGACTCCATTTTTCTCCCTTCTCACACACCTGCCTGTCCCCTTTCCTTCCCTTCTTCCCATCGTCAGAGAAATCATGAAGATATACACACATCCCCTGGAAAGAAGGACTTTTCCTAACTTGTTAATTTCATTTTAATCATCACCATTTATATATTCTGTTGTTGTAATATTTGGCCTTTACATGGTTGACAATTTTAGACCTCTGGAAATACAGTAGATAGTTCTGAGGTCTCTGGCCCGCACACGATAGTTACTGGCTCCACTTGATGTGGTTCAGTTTCCTGAGTCTCTTGGTCCTAAATTGGCTGATTTTGATTCACTTTCTCTTTCAGCTTGTGGCAATGGCCGAATAGTGTTGGCCCCCTTGAAATGGTGGCTTTCTTGAAGAAGTGGTAGTTGTTACAGAAGGGCTATTTTTACCTTCATGATTATCTTCTGCATCTGGTAGGAAAATAGAGCAATCTCAGAAGGACATTGGCTTGACAGTTTCTTGTATAGTTAAACATACTCTTTCTATATGTCCCAGGCGCTCTACTCCTAAGTATTTTCCAAAGAAAAATTAAAACATATATAAACCAGAAACTTGCACACGGATGTTCATAGCTTTGATTGTAATAATAAAAAACTGGAAATAACCCACATATTCCTAACCTAGGGAATAGTTAAACAGATTTTGATACATTTACAGATTTTGATACATTCATACATTGCAATCTACTAAGCCATAAAAATGAGCTAACTACTGGTAGTTAACTCATTCACCCATGTACCTTGAAGGTACATGCATGGATCTGAATGGCATTAGCTAATTCAAAGTAATCAGACCCAAAATGAGACACTTTCGAGGAGACAAAACTTAGGGACAGAAGAGATCAGTAGCTTTCAGCACATGGAGGTGGGAGAAGATATTTGTTATCAATGGGAATGGGGACGTTTTTTGAGGTAATGGAACTCTTTTATACCTTGAATGTTGCCATAGTTATATGACTATGTACATTTGTGAAATTTCACAGCAACGTACACCAAAAGTATGATTTTTATTGTATGTGAAGTATACATTAATAAAAAATGACATAATTTATAACCACACATAAGTCTGGGTTCTGAAAAAAACATACTATCATGTATATCTTGCTTGGGTCCAATTGTAAGGGATGCAGCAAAAACCTCCTTTTTCCTCTTTCTTCAGAATCTGGTTCCTCCTCAGCTACTCCTCTGTTTAATCCTTGCCTTTTCCCACCAATTTGGTTTCTTGCCAGTTATGTACCTCCTGTGGGAGACATTTTATCAGTGACCTTAAATATTAATATTTCCTAGAACAATAATTTTGAGAAGACAGACCAAAACACTGGACTAAGATCCAAAAAATTTTAGTTCTACATTTTTTTTTTTTTTTTTTTTTTTTTGCGGCACGCGGGCCTCTCACTGTTGTGGCCTCTCCCGTTGCAGAGCACAGGCTCTGGACGTGCAGGCTCAGCGGCCATGGCTCACGGGCCCAGCCGCTCCGCGGCATGTGGGATCTTCCTGGACCGGGGCACGAACCTGTGTCCCCTGCATCGGCAGGCGGACTCTCAACCACTGTGCCACCAGGGAAGCCCCTTAGTTCTATTTTTGACTATGTCACCAATTCATTCTGCAACCTTTTTGCCCAGTCACTTTTCTCAGAGTCCCCATTTCTCTCTCTATAAAATGAGACAGCAGGACTAGATCTCTGAGGCCCCTTCAAGCTTCAGTGCTTCATGATTCTATCTAGCAATCAGGTTTAACATATTGAAAATTAAATAAGGAGCCTCATAATTTCTAAAGTCATGTTTTCACCCAGGATCCTATTTGCCAATTCATTATTATGGATTATTCATGCATATAAATTCCTTCAGGCATATTTTTTCCAGTTTGCATTAAGACTTTATTCAGAACTTTGATCTTTGTCAAAATAACCCCCTTTAGCAGAAAATCCATCCAAAGGCAGAGCCAATTAATTATGATAATTTTTTAACATCTTTATTGGAGTATAATTGCTTTACAGTGGTGTGTTAGTTTCTGCTTTATAACAAAGTGAATCAGTTATACATATACATATGTTCCCATATCTCTTCCCTCTTGCGTCTCCCTCCCTCCCACCCTCCCTATCCCACCCTCCCTATCCCACCTAGAGGGGTGGGATAGGG